AACCAATTGCTAAACGATCCTGATATAAATATTTCCCGCTGAATACCTTCTTAGCTGAGTGTTACTCACTTCACTTTACTCAACAATGAGTAGTTTTAATAATGAGAGATAATAGTCACTGAATGCTAAGTGCAGAGTCAGACGCTAAATGGCTTATTTAGAGGAGTGAGCTGGGGGTATTTGGGGTCTGGGAATTGAACCCAGGGTTTCATGCAAGTCAGGCAAGCTCTTTGCCATGACCCTGCGACCTCAGCCTCAGAAGCTAAATGTTTATTTCCTCACCCAATTCGTCACTCTAACATGCAGAATTCATATTTTATCACTCAAAGTAACATAATCATCATTTATGCCAGTGTTTCCAAGATATCCCTAGCCCCTTTATTTCAAACTGATACTATTTCATTTTTTCCATTATTATATTTGAATTACAATTAGAGAAGTAAACATGGGTTTCTCTAAAAGCAGTAAAGTACCCTATGACCACTTTTGTCATGGCATAGAATGATTGAAAAAAGAACGGAAGAAACAAGATAGAAGAAAAACACACACGCAAAGCTTACAATAATCCTTAAAACCAGGTCATACCACCGGATGGCAAGAGGAGGGAAGTGTAGAAAATATCAGAAATAACTGACATACACTAAATCAATGTATTTTTAAATGGTAATTGATTATATAAAGTGTTGTAACTGGTATTTAAGAAGAGAAAAAGCAAAAGCAAGAAAAGATACATCTAATCAAGGAAGCCTTGGTGACCTTGAATAAGTTCCATATCTCTGCGTATAGGGAAATGAAGGCATTTTCTGCTACAATGTTAAATTTTAAACACAATTTTGTATTTGTATGTTTTAAAATTGTCATTACTCTTCCACAAGCCATTTTAAAAAAAAAAAAGGTTACATTCCTGAAAAAAATAAAGCTGAATTGATGTCAAAAGAGACACAAGGTATAAATTGAGCTTCATCCCTTAAACACAGATGAGTGCACCCAAAACCCCTTTTATAGCAATTCTCAGGGTAGCAATAATATAACTCTTCAAGACTGGTCTTCTGCACATGTAATAAATCTTTTCAACTCTTTGTCAAATTTAGGAGAACACTGCCACCTTTGAATTTTTCCAACAAAAAAACTAAGATTGAACAACAAAATCCAATACAGTTTTGATTAAACATGAATTCAATCTCCCGCCAGAGCAGCCTGACTTGACCGTGGGCAGGGTTGATTTACTCTTTGCTCCCCTGATGTTTTATTCTAGAAGTGACGGAAGCAGGGCCCACAGACAACTGTTTTCAGTGTCTACATCACTTTCTATCGGGGTGACCTTGGCTACCACTAGACAGCTCAGATCTTGAGAAATGTACCAATGTCAGATTGTTCTTAATTTTTGCGATTATATATTGAGGGAATGAGAGCAAGAAAGTAAGTATTCCCACCACAAATTATTCTGAGGCCATATCTGGCCCAAAAGAGAGACCATGTAATTGACCTGAGATGGGCAAAGGTGAGTTATACCACAGCCTCTCTGGATTTTCCTCCTGCCTGTGCCACACTCCACCACCCCTCCCTAACTAATAGCAGAGACAAAAGGACAGAGCCCCCTTGTCAAGGGAGTATATATAAGTACAAGGCTGCTGGAGAACAGCAATAGGAGCAGGGATGGCCGTTTGGGAATGAGGAGTGTCAGTTCCTTCTACAAGTCCTTACAGGACAACTGCTATCATCCTTCCTGATGTTATAGGCCCATCTTAGGGAAACGACTGTATGTACAGTTGATCATTGGCATTATGCCCCATAAACACTGAAGGAAACTACAGAATTAGCAAATACTGAACTATCCTACTTCCTAGCAGATAATAGAGTGTCAAATTCCTACATGCCCCTGGCCCCATTTTTTGGAAATTGGTCAATACATCGCCATATTTTGTGTCTCTCTATTTAAAAACATCTTATTTAATGTATATTGTTGCCCATCCAGAAACCCTTACTCCAGGTTCCTGCAACCTGGCCCTGTCCAACCCAGTTCCCAGGATGTCAAAGTTGAAATATAAAGGAAGAATCCTTTGCAGAAATGTCTCTCTGAGGGTGAGAAGATCTGAAAAAGGCCAGGTCCCCTTGACAGCAGGAAAGCCTCCCCAAAGCTTGAACAGGACACTTGGGCAAAAGGAAATACTCGATGCCTTCGGATTTCTACTTTTTGGACCTGGATTGAATTCAGATTCAAGCTGAGGATGTCTGGTTTCTCCTTGTCAACCATGTCATTCCACCCACCTGTGCCACTGTGGGTCAGCTAGACCAGAAACGCCCGCACTGCACTGCCTACAGTGACAAAAATATGCATGCCTGTGACTCTGCTGCCCCTGAGGGAAGCAGGAGGGCCCATTCTACCAGGAGAGCAGCGGCCCCCTTCCTGGACCTCCTCCTTCCTCAGGCTCCAATGCCACCTGCCTTCTACAGACCTGCACTTCAGTGTGGGAGAACTTCTCTCCAGTTGCTCTTGGCCAGAGGGTCATGGAGATAGCCTCTTAGAGCTCTCCCTCCTTCTTCCCCTTTCTCTGCCCTCCTTTCCCACTCCACTTTAGACTTTTTGATTGTCAATCTCTGTCACATGGTTGTTTTTGATTTCTGTTCTCTTTCCAATTGCTCAAAGGGCTCAGGAACCCTACTTTCTCTATCCTCTCTGAGTAGGGTGCAGAGGTAGAAGTGACTGACATTGTGGGGAGAAGGCAGGAAGCACATCAATAAAGGGGAAAACCACATTATGTCTTTAGTTGATCATAACAAGGAATTCGCCGTCCGCAGCCCTAACTCATGCCTGACGGAAGCTTAACGAATACAAGTGTTTTCTCTGAAAGGCACTCCACAGTCTGGTCCAAAGCATCCTTGGGGCAAAACTCCACATAGAGCCATAGCAGTGATTCCTTCAAAGTAACTAGAGAGGAGTCAAGAGTTCCCTTAATATAATAAAGCCAAACAAAACTCCAGCTCTCTCCAGGGATCAAAGGGTGGATTCATCTATTGTCTTCAGTCTGGATAGAAAATTCCTATCTTGCCCCAGCATCAGAACAGAATTCTGATAGTCTCACCCAAAATGGTATTGTGAAACAATGAACCCTGCATCAGTCATACATCTGTCCATTTGAGGAGCCCTTCTGGGAGACATTTGAGGAGCCCTTTCTCTCATATGAAAGGTGTTTTGCAATATCTAGCATGGCCTTCCTTGCTTCCTGTTACAGAAAAGGGCCTAAAGCAAAAGCACACGGTCTTATTATATTGATTGGGAACTACATCATACTTTCTGCTATGACTGACAGGAATGGGAGGAATTACTACTATTTGCCACAAAGAGCCAAGCCCTAGCCTGAAGACTCCATCTTGTTATTACAAAATTGTATGACATCATAGTTATTATCCCCAATACAGAGATGTGGAAACTGAATGCCCAAAGTCACAGTAAAGTAGTGTTGCTAACAGTCAGTCTCAGACTTATCAAGCTACAAAACCCTGTTCTCAGTTGCTACACAGTAATACCACCACACAGACATCATCCTGACACACAGGACTGCCAGTAAGGAAGCCATGCTTACTAGCTCAGGGAACAATCAAAAGAAACTATTCTGACCTGAAAATAGACATTAAGTAAAAACAGAAAAGGTTGAATACCTTTCAGAAAATATACATGCTGAAAATGGAAAAGAAGAGGAATATAAGATTAAATGTTGCAATGAGATTTCAAGGTAGGATGATTAACACCAGTGAATCACTTTGATCCTCCCAAACACCACTGATCATTTCAGACACATTTATTTTCCAGTGGTGTTCAGGATGAACTAAAGGCACGGGCTGGGTAGAGCCAAGACAGGAAGACCAGTTAGAAGGACACTGCAATAACCCAAGCACGAGCTAATGAGAGTCATAGAGATTGGAAAAGAAGAAACAAATACAAGGGGTGGTCTGAAGATAAAATTCAAAATGCCTGCTATGTAGAGATGAGGGAAGGAAAATATATAGGTTTCACTCTAAGAGTCAGCCTGTATAAAAGGAAGAAGGATAAGAAATTTTAACCAACTTTATAGACAATCCATAAATATCCATCTTCATCAGAAGGAAGTTGCTCCTCCTGACCTTCGTATGCATCCCTTGGAAATGCTGAGCTCCTTTATTCCTCTCATGAAATCACCTATTATTTATTTCAGGAAGCTTTCTCAAAAAAGGGGGGAGGGGGGACATACTATATAATGCTCTATAGTCCTCCTCCCGTCCACCTCTAGAATTCCCTATTCTTTAAGTCAACACTTTTATAGCACTGAATCGGTAAAATACTTACTAGGCTAATTTCCTCCAATATTAAATCTCATTAAAAAACATCAAAAGGATGTATATTCCACCCCTCTTGCTTTTGTCAGCAATACTTGAAATGTGTTAACTAGAGGACAGTCTCAACAGACTTACACTTGCTATACACTATTTTCTTTTTCTTTTTTTTTTTTCTTGGTTCTTCTTAGTTATACATGACAGTAGAATCCATTCTAATTCTCACACAGTATTTTCTACTAGTAAAATGTTTTAAGGTACCAAGCATTAATGGGTAGACTCCTTATCAACCTTAAGAATTCCTGAGTGACCTCTTAATACCTGAAAATAACCAGATACCAGAGTCGACAGACACAGAGATTCTCCATAATTATCAAATATCTTTTTGTTTCCCTGTGCAACCTAGTCAAGAGATAGACAAAGTGGAGAGAAGCACCCCAGGTACGTCCAGGAAAGACACCCTGTGCCTTTCCACCAGCAGCAATTACCGACCAACCTGCTTGACAAGACTATAAAAGAGGCATATCAAACTTGAGTTTGTCTTTCTAGAGATAATTTCCTACATTGGAGAAAACAGTACTAGAAAAAATGTAAACCCATCCTAAAAAGGGAAAAGAAATTAAAATTAACAATATTATGATGATGATAAGTTAGACTATATAGCACAAAAGAGACAGAAAATACTTGGACCCAATAAACACCCATTTATTAAATGCTTATTAAGTGCCAACCCCTGTGTTAAGTTCTATGGATATTAAAAAAGTAATTCATATATTTCACAAGTATTCGCATATATTCACAAGTATGAATGCCCACTATATGCCAGCAGCTCTGTTATAAACTGGGGATGAACAAAAGAGAAAAAGAAGTTTCTGCGCTAAAGGATAAGGGTGATATAGGAGTATACATCAGAGACCCACACCCAAAATCATCTTTTTTGAAAAAAAGTCAGGTTTATTCATTTCCTAGGGCTGCCATACAAATTACTACAAACTGGTGGCTTAAAGCAACAGAAATATATTCTCTCACAGTTCCCTGAAGGCTAGAATTATAAAATCAATGTCAGCAGGGCCACATTGTTTGTGAAGGCTCGAAGGAAACCTTCCCTTGCCTCCTGCCACTCCTGGTGGCTCCTGGCAACCTTTGCAGATCCTTGGCTATAGTTGTATCACTCCTCTCTCTGCCACTAACTTGGTCTGTTCAGGCTGCTGTAACAAAATACTAGTCTAGGTTGCTTATAAACAACAGAAATTTATTGCTCACACTTCCGGAGGCTAGAAATCCAAGATCAAATAACTAGTAGGTTTGCTCTCTGGTAAGGGCTTGCACATGGTGACCCCAGTGAGCCTGCATTGAATCCAAGATTATTTTCATGCAGTTCACCTTGCCAGGTTTTCAACTTGCTTGAGACCCATAACCTCTTTCTTCTTTCCTGTTTCTTCCTTTAGAACAGGATTATCTGTCTTATCCTCTTCCCAACATTATAGTTTGGAAGCCCAAAATTTGTTAGCTTCATACATGGGCAAGATTTTTGCACAGATTGAATTGCACCCAAGTCTCACCAGTATCTGATTCAGGTGATATTTAGATGAAACTTTGGTTATTAGACTATTAGAGCTAATGCCAGAATCAGTTCATGTCTGGGGCTGTTGGGATAGAATAAAGGTATTTGGCACTTAACAATGACATGAATTTTGGAGGGCCAGGGATAGAATGCTATGAACTAAATATTTGTGTGCCTTCAAAATTCATCTGTGGAAACTCTAATCCCTGATGTGATGATAATTGAAGGTAGGGCCTTCAGGAGATAATTAAGACATGAAAGTATAGCGTGATGGAGAAGAGCCCCTCAAAGAGAGATGTTTCCTCTCTTCAGGAATGGAGTTCTCCTCAGGATCCATCCATGCCTTCCCTCTGTTCTCAGATTCCAGCCCCTCAGTCTCTAAAAGTGTAAGAAATAAGCATCTATTGTTTAAGTCACCCAGCAATTTTCGTTATAGCTGTCTGAACTGGCTGAATAGCTCTTTTTACTCTGTTGATTGTGTCCTTTGATGCACAAAAATGTTTTTAAATTTGATGTAGTGCCATCTGTCAGTTTTTGCTTTTGTTACCTATACTTTTGGTGTCAGAAATACACTATTTAAGGAAATGGAAATTATTTACACATTTAGAATTTAGATGACGAAGGAAAATGAAGGAATATTTTTCTTATTCTTTTTCTACTGACACAATAGTTTGAACGATTATAATCACGTTGTTTAGTTTGAGATGAGCAACTAGGAAGATCTATGCAGTGGCCCAGATACTTAAAATCAATTTAATCTGAAGTTAAATTTAAGGAAGCTAAAGACTTTGAAATAAATCATTGTGGCTTTTTCTTTTTTCTTTTTTTATTTTATAATTATATCATCAAAGTAGTAGCATTTGAATAAGATCACAGATGTTAAGAATACAGATGTAGACTTAACAATTGTTCAACTTACAATTTAATTTTTCTACAAATTTTTACTTTACATTGGCATAAAATTGATATGCATTCAGTAAAACTATATTTTGAATTTTGATTTTCTAACTAACAATATTCAGTGTCATATTTTCGAGTGATACTGGGCAGCTATAGTGAGTCACAGCTCCCAGTTGGCCATGTGATCACGAAGGCAAATCTTCAGTGTGCTGTGTTTCTACACAGGATGTTCAGTGAGTTCCATGTATTAAACACATTTTAGATTTACAATATTTTCAACTTATATAGCTTATCTGGGTATAATCCCATGTAAGAAAAGGAGCATGTAAATAGCAATTGTAGATTTCATTCAAAATTCCTAACTTAACAGGAGAACTAACATTTTATAAAAGCACATAAGCTAAATAAGTAATAGAACTGCCTCACCTATCCAGAAAACTCATGAAAATGGAATTCAGAAATATATATATAGTAATATATAATATGTATGATATTACATATGTGATATATATATATAATAAATACCTCCATTAAAAATACTTTCTAAGTAGCTTCCCAAGTTTTTTGATATCATTCTAATTCTATGAGTAAATACAGACTTGATAACTATTAACAAATTGCCAACAGGCATAATGATCATCCAAACTCCCATGTGTTCAGGCTACTTCTTTTCTAATAATTTGGATTTCCAGAGAATATGAGATTTCTTGGAAGTTTGGTTTTTCCAAAGTTTTATTTAGATATTATCTTTGTAATCAGATAGACTAGGTTCCCATTCCTCGGTTCCCAGTCTCATTTCTTGTTAGCTGAATAAGTTCACAAGAGTTTTAATTTCCCCAAATCCTAGTTTCTTCCCCTACAACATAAGGATAGTAATGCTCACAAAGAAAGACGGTGACCAAAGGTGAAATGTGAGCTAGATAGAGTGGTACAGGTACAGTCACTACTCGGTAAGGGAAGGGCACTATTAACATCTATGACTGAGATTTTATTAACTAACCTTTTGCCCTATTAATTTCATGACCTCTTTTTTAAATAGGTAAGTGTCAGGAGAAGAACCTATAATGTCAATGTGTGTCTTATGAAAATTAACCAGAACCCTAAGGTGTCTTGATTGTAGTTGTTCACATGCCCGTTCAATATTTCTCTTCTCTCTATTTCCCTTTCCTTCCAAAATAAATGTCTCTTTCCTAAGCTCAGAGTGAAGAGCCTGGACCCATTCCTCAATGAGCTCCTTTACGTACTGCGCGCTGTTTGGCCCAGAATCACCTTGAGCACTTGCTAGACAAATGGTGGTGACGTCACCATCCACCCTCTCCTGACTTAGAATATTAAATTTGTTCAGGGTGATTTCATAAAACTCACACTTCCATTTCAGGTAAAGGAAAACATCTGTGTCCATCACAAGCATTTCTGGGCTTCTAACAGTTTCAGGTACTAAGGGCCTGAGCGTCTCCACCAAGTTATCACTCCTCTGTAGACTCTTTTCGGGGCTTTGTCTGTTCTGTTTTTTCCCTTCAGTCATAAAATTCCTGTTTTTTTCTAAAAGAGAACTTGCTTTTGATAGCAAAGACTCTTTGAGATTCTTGATAGCCAGAAAGGGTCCTTCCACAGAGATTCTTCCTCCAGGTCCCAAGGAGCTGAAGTTTAAAGTTGGGATTTTCTTTTTCAGGTCTATTACCAGGCTTTCCAGTATAATTTGACCACGAAAAACAGAAAGATCAAGGGTCACTTTCACAGAGCTGAAGACCTAAAATTAAAAAGAAAAATTAAAATAGCACTGCCTACTGAGGCAAAAAAAAAAAAAACATAAACAAATTCATTTTTTAACCAACTTCTTATCGTGCAGTCACTTTAAATCAGACTCTAATGGCCAAACCCAGAGTTCCTGGCTTCTCATACCCAGGCAGCCCATCCGTGGTACCCAGGCTGTTCAGTTTGAGATTCACAGTCCCTTGTTACATACCCTCAAACAGAGGCAGTCACATCATTTTTAGAAGCAAATTGCTATTTTGAAACAAAGTCTCAAGCAACACATAGGTGTAAACTGTTCTAGTTCTGCTCCAGAAGTCCCTCTAGAGTCATCCCCACCCTTCCCTTCCAGTTTGAAGTTCATCACATGGTTCCAGAGAATGCCAGGTTTCTTGCAGAATATGGTTTAGAAACCAACACTTCAAATATTTCACTTTTCCTCTTATTTCTACCCTTCCTGCCCTTTCAAAACTCCCTTTTAGTGTGCATCATAATTTTTTATCCAAAATAAATCTCTAGGTAGGTACCTGATGTTATCTATAACAACACAAAAGCTCACTGTCACTTTAAAAGCATTAAGTAGGAACAGAGAAATATAAAAGCAAAAACTTCAAGAAGCAGGTTTGGTCTTTTGTACTGACATGACTCAGGTTAGAGAGCTGAATCCATGAGGTGAGAACACTGTGTGTCTCTTTACACAGGAAAGACTTCACAGGACAAACAAGACCCAGAACTCCCAGCACACCCTCAGCTCACACCTTACCTTTTCACTAAAGTGAGAGACTGTGAGTTGAGCATGTACCGTCTTCTGAATTGCTAGATGGTGTTTCTTTTGTCTGACAACATTCTCTGCAACTAAGTGGAAACATTAACATCAAAAGTGGTTGTGGCATAACACTAATAATTACTTTAACTCCTAAAAATAGAGAAATTTGATTCTGTTATTTAGAAAGTCTGAGTTTTTCCTATATTTTTCCTCTAAATCCAACATTCAAATAATTTTTTCCTTGCATTTTCACATATTAAAGTTAATTGCATGTATTAATATATTCTTAATCATATTTCTTTGAAAACACACATAGGCCAGGAACAGCAACTCAGGAGGCTGAGGAAGTTTGAGGCCAACCTCAGCAACTTAGCAAAGCCCTAAGCAACTTAGCAAGACCCTGTCTCAAAATAAAAAATAAAAAAGGCCGGAGAAGTAGCTCAATGGTAAAGCAGGGTTAAATTCTCTGGGTTAAATTCCCAATTAACCCCGGGGTTAAACTCCCAATGCCAAAACACACACACACACACACACACACACACACACACACACACACGCACGCACAGTACATACATGAATAGAAAACAGAAACCCAAGAGTAAATCCCCCACTCTGCTAATACTGGTCACATAAACTCTCATGTCTGTGAATCCAGGGTTCCACACTGTCCTGGTTTTCCTCCTAATTCACTGGCTCCTTTGCTAATTCTCCATCTTTTCCCACTCTCTAGATGTTAGAAAGCCCCAGACCTCAGTCCTCAAACTTCTTTGCTAACCTATGTCTACCTCCTAGTCAATTCAACACTTCAACCCTATATGCATTGCTTCCAAAATTTTATCTCTGCTCCATTATCTTAATAGGTGCTTCAATGACCCAAAATCAACTTGATAATTATCCCCCTCCTGAACATACTCCATTCAATCTTGCCAACTCAAAAATTCACAAATACCCACGAGTGCCCATCAGCTGCCCTACTGCACCTCTCCAAGGCAGCAATGACTCGTATCTCCTGTTCCTCAGCAACCAATTTGACCATCTGAGAAAAGGTGTCAATCTTCTGCTCGGAACTGAATCCTCTACCAGAATAAAATCTAGACACCTTGCCTTGACCCATAGCTGCTTAGCAAAAACTGGCCCCAGCTCCCAGTCTAATCACATCTATTGTACACACACACACACACACACACACACACACACACACAGCCCAATCTCATAAAACTCCAGCCACACAGCCCTCCTTGGTGTTCCTCTAAACATCCAGCATGTTTCCCCTGTGGAATTTCTACCTGTCCTTCATCTAGTCTGAAATGTTTTTCCCATTTATCTGCATGATTCATTCTCTTACTTCATTCAGGTCCCTGCTCAAATGTCACCTAAACATATGACATCAGGGCTGTGGATATAGCTCAGCAGTAGAGCACTTACCTAGCATGTACAAGGCCTTGGGTTTGATTCCCAGCACCACCAAATTATATATTCTTTTTAAAAGTGTTTTCCTAGCCACTCTATTTAAATAGCACCATCCATCATGTTTTCTTTCTCTTCTCCCGTATACTTTTTCATAGCAAGTTAGTGTTCTCTGCAGACCCAACTGTATCTATCCCCTATGTCAGGGATGGGGCTAGGGAACAGGATGGCTCCATCTTATCTCAGATCCAAACTGTATTTCTCAATTCAATTTGGCAAGCAATAAAGCAGATACTATGTTAGAATATCCATATGATAGTTTGAACACAGAACAGCAGAGGGTATAATTGTATTGTTGAAGCCACCTTAAAGTCCCAAAGTAGTTATCTTGTTTGTGGAATTATATATCATTTAAGCAGGGGGATTTTCTACATTTTTCTGCATTTTGCAAGTTTTCTATGAAACTTTTATCCCAAGATACATTTAAAGTATAGGAAAAAAGAAGTTTTCAAAAATTTGCCAGTTACTAAGAGTTTTCAAAAATTTACCAGTTACTTTTTATCATGAGTCATTTTCATACATTTCTGGCCAGTTTCAGAATAGAATAATTTTAAATCTACTTCAAATGTTATTAATTCCATGAATCATTTCAACAAAATCTAATTTTAATTTCACTAAGTATTTCTCAAATTATAAAACTTTGATTTGGAAATACCTTTCTTTTCTTTGAATATTACATATGCAACTCCTTTGGTTCTTGTTGGATATATCACATCTTCAATATCTCCACCCTCATTTTTAATGTCTCGGAAGTAACTCTCCACTAATGTAGTCAGCAACTGATCACTCAAAAGGCCAACAGGAAGACCAGCAACGACAATGGTTCTTTCAGGAGCTCTCGATTTCTTGACATTCGAAACTGATGCCTGTAAGAGAAAAAGTAGAATACTATTTAAAAATACAAGCTCTACTTAATGAAGAGTGGGATAACATAAAGTTAAAAAAAAAAAAAGTGGGAGGAAGGAGGGAAGGCAAAGGAAAGAACTGGTGCATAGAGTTGACCAAATTATGCCATGTGCATGCATGATTGTATCACAATGCATTCCAATTTATATATAATGGTAATGCATCAAATAAAAAATAAATAAATACAAGGAAGACCAGTGGAGTAGAGGAAGAAGATGATAGTGCTGGGGATTGAGATGGAGAAAACTATGCTCTAAGCACTTATGAATATGTCAAAAGGAGCCCCACTATTATGACTACAATGCACTAAAAATTTTTAAATTAAAAAGTTTTTAGCCAGGTGTGGTGGCCCACACCTGTAATCCCAGCAATTTGGGAGGTTAAGGCAGGAGCATTGTGAGTTTAAAGCCAGCCTCATCAACTTAGTGAGGGCCTAAGCAACATAGCGAGACCTTGTCCGAAAATAAAACAGGAAAAGGGCTGAGGATATGGCTTAGTGGTAAAGCACCCCTGGGTTCAATCCCTGGTACAAGGGGCAAAAAAAAAAAAAAAAAAAAGGTTTTAAAAAATAAAAAGAATTTTTAAAAAGCCAAAAGGAAGACCAACAACTACAATAGTTCTTTCAGAAGATTTGTATTTCTTGAAAGTCAAAGCTAATGCTTATAAGAGAAACAGTTATATTATGAATATATTTTAAAATATACTTAATGAAAGTACCATCACATAACATAGAAGACAATATCTTACTCAATAAAGGCAACAGTGTAACTAGTAGATACTTTTTAAAAAGGAAATAGATCTTTGCTTTTTAACCATCTACTAACATAAATTATAGCCAAATTTGAAAGTTAAATGTAAAAATGATCGCTTTATTTTTTTAATAAGTGGAAATGTTGATTAATTGTTCATTTTAGGAAAGCCTAAAAATAATTTAAAAATGAAATATAAATTTCAAAAATTAAAATGTAAAATAAGATAATCAAATAGTCACAAAATACAGTAATGTGGAAGTGACTGTATTTTTTATGGATTGTAGATTCCAAAGTAAATAAGCTAGTAAAAAATACATCCCTTTTATTATCAGAATCAGGGGGAAATTACCATTAAAAAAACAAAACCCCAGGAGTAACATGGATTCTGTGGTGGAGTAAATCCCACCTTGCAGACGTATCTGAAATTAAATCCAGCCTTTAAAAGAGTGCATGCTATTGTAGCCACAGGGCTGGGCACAGAGTACCAACTGTGCTGGGTTTACTCTCTTTGAACTTCTTGAATTATCCACATAATGCCCTCATTTGCTCCCCAATCCCATTTAGGGAAGTGGATTTGTGAACTTCTCCCAGTGCTTACACAGTTAGTCCAGCCTGTGCAACAAAAGAATTACCTGAGGGTGGACAGGATGGCCCAAGGGCCTGAACCATGGTGAACAGACCACTCAGGAGCTCAGGACTCTCAGTCCACAGGACTCTGTACTTACAATCCGATTCCACAGGGATTGGCAAACCACTTCTATCCTCCCCAGAGGTAAGAAAAGAGCTTAAACACACAAATAGTGTCCTGTCCATCCCAAGAACTCCTTAAGATGAAAATAAAAGAATAAATGTACCTGTCTGATGAAGTGAATTTTAATTCACTTTAAATCAGGTGCATCTGAATGCACCTGAATTTTTTAGAATATATACTATTTTGTCAATTAGTTAATCAGTTAGCAAATACTGTATTATTAAATATGTGCTCCATGCCTGGCAATATGCTGAGTTTCAGAAATAATGATACATACAAAGAAATAAAATTTGTCCCTTGTCCTGAAATTCAGTTCCCCCACAAGAATGTAAATCGTTATGCGTAGGGCACTTAGATAGGGTTTAGGATTAATATAAAAAACGGTGGAGGTGGGAAGGGTCTATACATGAAAGAGGAGGCAGACACATAAATAAATCTTTTCAAAAGAGCTTGGTATTCATGAAAGAAGTAGATCTATTTATTGCTTTAAGGAGGAAGCAGTCCAACACACTATTTTAGAAGGACACAGACCATCCACAATAAAATCCTAAAATTACAATAAATGCCATCCAAAATTAGAAAGCAAGATTAATTAATTCTGGCTAACTGGAGTCTGAAAAAGGCTCCACAAAAGAGAGGTCTTTAAGGCTGAGGTCAAATTTGAATTGATGAGACAAAGATACCAAGAAAAAGCTGGGCAAGGGGGGAGGCATGAAACTGGCTCATGTTGATACATATATAATACAAAGGGAATGTCTCCAGAAAATAAAATGAGAAAAACTCTATTGGCTATTTGTTTTAGGAGATACTTTTATGGATGAAAATCATTTACCTAGATTGTACAATGAAACAGCAAAAATATACCAGATGGTAAGTGTGCCTACAGGCAACCTATTCCCAAGTGGTACAATGCAATTTCCCCAAGACAATTCTCCATTACAAGAGAGAGAGAGAAAAAAAAATGACTGAATAGATTTTTTTAGATTTTTCAGAAAACTCTATTTCTTTAGATTTGTAATGATGACATCCTGCTCTAACAACTCCCACCAGCCTCAGTGTGTCAGTGGATAAAGAATTAATTTCTTTTTTGCTCTGCATCAATGTCAAAGAAAATTTATCAATCACTTTAAATTCAAAAAATCACTCTACCTCTATGCCCTCATCAATACTAATACCATATTTCTTCATCCAAATGTCTGTACATAATTCAATCAAAAGAACTTTCTGAGCTGGTATTTTTAGGAGAGAAAAACAAAAGAGTTTTGTTTTCTAACAATTTAATTTTTTTTTTATAAATTATCTTGTGATTTATTTCAATGACCTGCCAGGATTCTTCCTTAACTTTCTTTCATATGTCTGAGAAAGTATTGCTAACATATATAATTCTGCTGAGGACAGTTATGAACAATGAGAATAACTAATCTCTTCTATCCACGATTAGGGAGGGAAAAAAAATAACCTGGAGAAAGAAATTCCTCTCAAGGATTTTGAAACAAGAACAGCATTGAAATCAAGAGACATTAAGGTGATGGCACTTTTTTCCCATATCAACGTTATCTTTTAAGAAACTTTTGGCCGTCAGGATCCAAAAAGGTATAAAGACAAACTATTTTTTTTTTTAAAGTAAGGGACTAGGAAATAATTGGAAGATTCATTCGCTGCGTTTACTTAGATTTCTTTTCTCAAAATCAGTTATTTATTTTCAATGACTATACCTTTACTCTCACCAGGTAAACAAAAGCACATTTGCATCTCACAACTGCTTTTACATTACCAGGACTCAGGGATTTCAGATCAGAAAGTAAAGGCTCTGCCACAGTTTCAAATGTTTGTTAGAGAAACACACACACACACACACACACACACACACACACACACACAAACACACACAAACTCAGTCTTGAATTTGCTGTCTGTTGTTCCTAGCCAGCACAGATGGTGAAAACACTGAGCCCTTTGTGTCTCTGGATAAAGAACTAAGGCCACAAAACCACAATAGCGAATTCGCACCAGGAGAGACTTCAGGATGCCTCCCTAACTTGTGTCCTTGGTTAAATCCGTCTTAACTAGCTCTTTTCCAAACGAAGCTGTAACCTTCATTTCTGTGTAATCTGTCCACTTTTGCTCGCCCCCAACCCCCACCCCCGATTCGTGGGAGGAAAACAGTTAGATCCCTACAGCGTGCAAAGCAACTCCTCCACGAAACTGCGGTGCGGAGCAGTGGGCGCGGGAGGTCGCAGTCGGTGCCTGGGCCCTTCCTCTCGCAGCCCGAGGTTAATTCCAGTAACGCGCAGCGTCGCAGCAGGGGCAGGTGCAGAGATCGCGCCTAGGGTTGACCGGCGGCGGGGATTGGTGGCTCTTGGCCGCCCCAGGGCCTCCAGAGCGTCGCTTCGCCCAGCCCCGCACCCTGGACCTGCCCAAGGGATTCTGCGCCCACTTGGGGGACCTAGGCGACGTCATGGGCACTCCCCTGCACCACAAAACCCAAAGAAAAATGACTTGCCATGGTGGAGGAGAGACGCGCCCTGGGCGGCCGCGAGGAAGCCCCAAACCCAGCGGAGCGCGGGCGGTGCAGAGGGCCCGGCAAGCTGGTTTTGGTTTCGTTTTTTTGTTCCCGCTCACTTGGAGACAATACAAGAAAAGGGCGGCCTTTCCATCCCACATGGCTGTTCTGTAGCGGGTGGCCTCTAGGTGGGAGCCTGGACTTGGAAGGGCGGCTGGCACCAGACCAGACATCCTCCGTAGTTTTGCAACTTTTGAAAGCACGCTTTCAAAGACAGGCCCGGAGATTCCTGGCAGAAATTTAGGGATTCTCCCAGTAATACGTCAGTCCTGCGCTCAATGGACTCTGGATGCTCCTTCCTGAACCCTCAGTATTCCCCCTATAGTATTCCTGGGTGGTCTCTTCTCCCAGATTGGGGCCCCTGACGAATACACAGGATGAAAAGCATAGTCCCTGCCAATAGGGAGCTGACCACCTATATGCAAATGTAAAAAGCCAACATAAATGCTGTCTATGTTTTAAACTTTGCTGTAGAATTGGACTCAGGAAGTGCTGGATTTCTGAGTCTGGCTCTTGGGGCAAAGGGAATCCACATAGGTAACAAGTTCAAAGTAAAATTAAAGAGAACACGAAAAAGGCAAATGGATGGCCAATGTGAAGATGCTTGGTCTTATCCATAATAAAGACATATACATTGAAATCACAACGCGATACCATTTTTTCCCAGCGTTAGCCGGTCTGTAAAGAACATCAATGTTGTTGCAAGTCATGGGAACATTTTGAAGGATTTTGACCCCTATCGAGGGATCTCAGACCACAGCACTCCAACATGGAGTGTTGTTAAAGTACGCTTAGTACTTTAAATGAAGGACTTCGGTCAAAAGAGTCTTCTTCCTGGGCCCTCCTGTATCCCTCCCCTTTTCTGCCCTTAGCCAATCAAAGACACCGGAATTTCTCTTCTTCCAGGTGGGTGAAGGAAACTAGAATCCCCCTTCCAATAAACAAGCCATAGAACCTAGAAAGGTCACTCTACGCCTTCTCCCTGTTCCTTTGAGACCCTCGTTCTAGAGAAGTCCTCCCCTATACACAGGACGAAGGAATGCTACACAGGGAAGCCAAGAAGAATCTGAACCGGCCTTGCTGGGCCCCTGGTATTGGGCCAGTCTGTTATCATTAGATAATACCTTTGATGCAGTCACGTTTCTGCACAGCTGTCCTTCATCAACATAAGCATAAAAATAGTTTTCTCTGGGTCTTCAATTCCGAATGCTCCTGTCACATAAAACTTTGATTAAATAGATTATGCTTTTTCTCTTGATCACCTTGTTGTTGTTGTTATAGAAGAGTGACCTTTAGGATGGCTTAGGAAAATGTAACACCTTCTCAATTCTACACTATGAACACGTAAAATGCAAGAAATAAAAGGCACATATCCTTAGACTTAGCGATTCATTTTTAGTAGTAAACCTGAAGTGAAAGTAGCAAGTGATACTAAGATGTTGTATAAAATTTTTAATTGTATGTCTCTTGTTACACAGGTAATAATAATTTCTTTTAAAAAACGGATCCACTCAATGAGTGGAGCTCTCTATTGTACAGATGATGGTATCTCTACAAGACATGAGGCTATGAAGATTTTAAAACAGAATGAGGTAGATTTACACAAAATTTATAGTTTATCTCCATATTCATATATTCAGGTACCCATTTGAATGCCTAATAAGAATCTAAAATTTAATGATATAAAATGAAAAGCTGACAACACATGTAATAGTTAATGTGTCAATTTGACTGGGCTAGAGAATGCCCAGTAAAATGTTATTTCTAGGTATATCTGTGAATGTTTCTAGGAGAGAATGGCAATTGAATTGGAAAACTGAAGTAAAAAGGATCCACCCTCACGAATATGGATAGGCACCATCCAATCTGTTGAACATAAAGGTAGAAGATGGGTAAATACATTCTTCCTTTTGGAGCAGGAACATCCCTCCCCTGCTCTCAGACACTAGCAGTTGTGATTCTTGGGCCTTCAGACTCAGATTGAAATTACAGGACCAGCTTTTCCAGGACTCCAGCTTGCAAGTAGATCATGCAACTTCTCTTCATGAGCCAGTCCCTCATAAGAAATCTCCTTCTAAATATCCATGTATTTCCTAATGGTTCTGTTCCTCTGAAGAACCCTGACTAATACATATGGTCAAATAATTTTCAATAAGAGTATCAAGACCATTCAATGGGTGAAAGACGGTCTGAAGAAGCTGGGAGTATTGAAAATCTTAAAATCTTTGGTGCCAGAACTCTTAAAATCTATAATGGCACACACTTGTGATCCCAGAGATTGGGGAGACTGAGGCAAGAAGATCACAAGTTCAAAGCCAGCCTCAGCAACCAGCAAGACCCAAAAAAAAAAAAAAAAGAAAGAAATATATATATATATATACTAAAAGGACAGGGTATATAGCTCAGTAATAAAGTTCTCTTGAGTTCAATCCAGGTGGGTGGGGGGAGAGGGGATAAATATAAACTTTGGCTCCAAATATTGATTCCAGGAAGTGCATTGAGGGTTTCAGATTCCAGAAGAATACATTTCGAACACCCTTTCTAGAATTGGCCAAGAAGAATATTTGAAAAAAAAAAAAAAAAAGAATGTCCAGGAAATATTAAGACAATCAGCAAGAAAAGAATTTCCAGGGAATGAAATCAGGGCCTAAATCAAAATTCAACACATTACAGGTATGGTGCACACATCTACTCAATGAGATTTCAGAATTGCTTTGGCTTAGTGTCTCTCACTCCTTCCCTTTCCACGTGGGAGAGTTTATTGCACTTACCATTCTCAGTTCCATCACTGAATATTGGGTGTGTTGCAGTCTCTAGATACAGTTCAGACCTGATACAGAAACTGCCACGAGTCACTGAGAGCTCACACTTTCTGAGTTTGATGTCTTGATTGGATGGAATTTTTGGTTCTGTTCTTTCGGGGATGAGGTAAATATATTTTGTGTATGAAGAAGAATGAACCAAATGATAGTGATTCAAAGGACAAGGCAAACTATGCTGGTGATTATTCTGGCCCAGCCAAACCTGGTTCTCCTAACTTTACAAGGATTTTCTAGTCTCCTTATATCTGAATGGGCCTAGGTAACTATTTCTTGACTGAGATATGAGAAGAAATGACAAGGGTCAGTTTTGGATCACAGAATTTAATTAATAGTCCAAGTCTCTCCAGACTCTGCTTTTACCCAGCTCTGTGATTCTGGAGCTATATCTCAAGATGGGGCTTCCAAGCGATAAGGATACAGAGACTCCCCTGCCAAGTTGTACTAATTGTGCATGATGGGTAAAACTGGCTTCCCCCTTATCCTCAAACTAAGGATTGAACCCAGGCATGCTCTACCACTGAGCAACATCCCCAACGGCCCCATCTTTGTCTTTTGGAGACAGAGTCTCACTAAGTTGCTGACGCCAGCCTCAAACTTCCATTCCTCCTGCCTCATCCTCCTGAGTAGCTGGGATTACAGTTGTGCACCACCATGCCTAGCTAAACTTCTATTCTTTATAAATTATCAAGTCTGAGATTATCTATAATAGCAACAGATGACAGAATAAGACACTCTCAACATTTTCAAGAGCTTTAATCTGACTATTTCCAAAGAAAAATAGGCATAGGATTTTTAAAGGGTAAATATAAAGATTTATCATGAATTTTAACATTTTTAGACACCAGCTTTCATTTCTAACAAAAATATAAAAATAATGAATACTTCTGATGGTACTAAAACCTAAAAATATCAGGGAAAAAAAAAACTTTTCCCTTTTAAGTTCAGGTGGAAGCTAGCATTTAAAAGGTTTAGAAACTTCTAAATTTCTTGTCCAAATATGACTTAATTCGACTTTCCAGCTCTTCATGAAACATATAATGTCAGAATAAATGTCCTTCACCAAAAAAAGAACTTTACCTTCTCTGAATAGGATTTTAAATTTTATGCTTAAAGTTTCCACAAATTAAGAACAATGAAATGCTAATAAACTGGGTCTCTTTCCAAATTACACTTAAACCCAGAGAGGGCAGGAACCATGTGCTACCTTCAGCCATTCTTGGTATCTAGAGGGAGAAGTAATGAGCCCCTAGCTTTGCATTTACTTCTCCCTGTGTTTCAAGGTTTTTCATCTCTTAGACTGATTTTTTTTTTTTTTTAGAGAGAGAGAGAGATAATTTTTTAATAGTTATTTTTAGTTCTTGGCGGACACAATATCTTTATTTGTATGTGGTGCTGAGGATCGAACCCGGGCAGCACGCATGCCAGGCGAGCGCGCTACCGCTTGAGCCACATCCCCAGCCCAAGACTGATTCTTTTTAATGTCACTGTTAAAGAAAGAAAATGCTAGTCTTTAGAAGCTCTCTTTGGAGAGGAGAGGGATTGGAAGGAGTCAGGGGACAGTTGGCATGCTCAGAGAAGGAAAGTTCAAGAAAAAAACCACACTTAGCTCTGAGAACGTTGGGTCTATGGAGTTAATTGCTATGCAAAGTGGGGCATGATCACTCCTGAAGTCCTTTGAATCTTGAGTAAAGCCTATAGAAATCACAAACCACCAAGTGTAACTACATTCCTTCACTCTTTTTTTTTTTAATATTTTTTTAGTTGCAGATGGACACAATATCTTTATTTTTATTTATTTATTTTTATGTGATGCTGAGGATCAAACCCAGGGAGAGCCTCATGCCTACAAGGCAAGCACTCTACCACTGAGCTACAACCCCAGCCCCTATTTCTTCACTTTTGAAGTTCCTTGAATTTTTGGTAAAGTCTACAGAAATCCCAAACTGCTCAATGTTACTGCATTTCCTCTGGACAATATTAAGTATCGAGTCTACATGTTGGTGGGCACAGGGCCAAAATGGAATTGGCCAACATGACTACGGCAGAATGAGCCAACATGGGCAGGGGGACATCTGGATCACTTAAGGTCGATTTCAACAGACATGGAACTCATCCACATAACTTATGAACAAAACTGTTTTTAACACAGTGTACTTACATATTTATAAACATACAGCCAAGTTCAAAACAAAGATGAATTCAAAAACTTGGAAATATATTTTTTTATTTAAAAAGAAATGGACACTAAAGAATTAAAATTTTCGATTTTTAAAGGAAAGGATATTCATTTTTGCCAAATGTTGACAGTGATTTGTATTAAAAGCTATAATTCTCATATGATTCCATCAGTTTATTCTTCGAAATATGCGATGTAAGATTGATCTAGAGAACACTTGACCACATCTACTTCTCCACCTCCATTCTTCTCCCGCTGAAAGTGAATGTTAATTAAATCCTCCACAATTTCTTCTTCCATCTGAATGTTCTCTATTCCCTTCAGAAGCACCGTCCTCTTAGATATTCCTGAAAATACCTAAGAAAGAAAAAAAGATAAATACAAAAATTGCCAAAAGTTTTGAATTCAAAACCTTTCGTCCAAAAGCTGTGCTTAGAATTTTGGATTTTATGTCAGTAGAAATAGGAAGCTTTAGGATTTTTCAAAGAGGATGTCAGAGTCAGATCTGAGTGTCAGAAAGATAACTCTGGTGGCATTATGAAGAATGGAGGAAAGGAGGGCAGTTCAAGAGACAGGTAAAAAGGTAGTCAGAGATGGACTATCATGATTTGGTGAATCTGAAATGGTAGAGGAGAGGCAAAACGAAGAGTTAAGTATGAGTTCTTTCCACCAGGTTTGTGGACTCGGTAGATAGTGGTACCATCTTAGAAGGAACAGGAAGAGGGTTTGTGGTAAAAATAACGAGTTCAATGAAAACAGCAGAAAGAATGATTTCTAATACCCAGTGATAACAGATACACAAGAGAAATGCAGCTATGTTCCACATATAAAAATAAAGATGTTTTGTTATTAAGTGAGTAATTTTCATTTAAAAATAAATAAAGTAAAATAAGGCACTGATTTATATTAAAATATTCTTTAAAAAGTCAGACTCATTCTGAGCCAAGAAAAAAATGAAAAATCTATTTTGAAATCCCTCACTGATAAAATTCAAATAGTAACAGACACAATTTTTTTTTTCTTTTCTGTGTGTATCTCTCTGTGGTGGGGAGGGGGAGTAGGTTTGTGCAGTAAGTTCTCAAAATGAAAGAAAAGATGACTTTTTGAACTGTAAGCCAAGCTGCTCAAGAGGGAAGCCTGGGCAACCTAGTGAGACTCTCATCTCAAAAAACAAACAAACAAACAAACAAAAGATAACTTTACCTGATACTTTTTCACGTGTCTTTCTATGTATGGAGAAACAACAACTCTATGGCAGCTTTGATTTATGTAAAGAGGATATTCTTTCTTTTTCAATATCTTGTCAACAACTGAAAGTAAGCAAAAAGGTTTTTTTTTAATATCATAAACATTTTTAATCAAACTTAAAACTTCCTTCCTACAAAATAATATCACTGTGAATAGTGAATTGAGTGATTAATTTCTAAGAAATGTTACCACCCACAAGGAGACTTCACAGTACATAATTTTAAATAGTTCCTTCTGCCTTAAACTATCCCCTACAGTCCATCAATGCACAGAGGGCTGATTGTTCTCAGATGGACACTGAGTTCATAAGGGGATATAGTTAAGTAGTAAAGAACCCCTGGGTTCAATCCCTGGTACCATAAAATAAATAAAATACAATAGTCATCTGCACTCATCCTAACAAGACCGGAGGGTTTCTGTTTCTCAAGAAGAATAAATGAGCTGGGCATGGTGGCACATGCCTGCAATCTCAGTGTCTAGGGAGGCTGAGGCAAGAGGATCAAAAGTTTGAGGCCATCTCAGCAATTCAGCAAGACCCTCAGCAACTTAGTGAGACCCTGTCTCAAGATAAAAAATTTAAAAGGGCTGGGGATATGGCTCAGTGGTTAACCACCCCTGGTATCAAAAAAAAAAAAAAAAAAAAGTACAAATGAAAACTATGATTAGAACACCATAAATATACAGTAAGTTATACATTTATTTTACATTATACATATATATAGTAAATTATTTGGTCATCCCAGTATAGCTTATTCAGGAAACTGAAATAATGTGGAGAAGGAGGGTACTAAAGGAAGACAAATAACAAAAATTCATCAGTTTTCTCCAACACAAATGATAGAAAGGACAGTCTGATTTTTTTAGCAGCATTTTTCCCTAAAGTAGAGAAAAGTCACATGTCAAAACTGGATAAGGTTTAACAGAAACAATCCTTGAGAATATTTAACCATTTTTTTTTAAAAAATTCCTCTCATAAGTCCACCTTGGATCAGCAATAAGGTACAATGGTTAGAAGTACAGGCCTTCTTGGTGAGGATGTGAAGTTGGCACCCTGAAGCACTGCATGAAGGAACGTAAAATGGTACAGGCAGTGTGGAAAACACTATGGCAATTCCTCCAATGTTAAATAAACTTGCCATATGATCCAGCAATTCCTCTCACAATTATATATCCAAAAAAAAAAATGAAAGCAGGGATTGAATAGATATTTGCCCACCAATATTCACAGAAGCATTATTCCCAATAGCCAAAAGGTAAAAGCAACAGATGAATGTGCTAGATACACACACACACACACACACACACACACACACACACACACACACAGGCATAACAGAACGTTATTCAGCTTTAAATATGAAATTCTGACTATAATACAATACAGATAAAGCTGTATTAAGTGAACTAAATCAGACACGAAAAGACTAACAATGTATTATGATTCCACTTATTCAGAAAAGGCAGGCTCATAGAGAAGAAATTAGAATTGTGGTCACCAGGTGTCATGAGCCACCCATGGGTTGCATGTGGGTCACCATGCGTGGAAGCCTAGAGGATAGAAACATCTGGTGTCTGGGAATGACCAGTGGACATTTTCTCTGGTCAATTGCCCAGGGACAGTGAGAATTTCTATCCCACTCTTCCCTGACCCACCCAGCACCTGAGATGGGTGTGACCTGCCAAGATGCCAATCAACCTGCTGACTGCAAGACATCACAAAGCAAGACTTTGTCCTTGAAACCTTATCCCTGATTTTGATGTACCCTCTTAAATAAACCACTGGAGCCATCTTTCCTTTGTCTAATGCCAGCACCCATGTGGACTAGATCTATCAGGGGCTCTGCTTTTTGTAAATATATTTCTGACTATTTGTGTTTTGTTCTTCACTAATTATTTGAGACTTTAAGTGTTCAGGTGTCTTACACCCTCCTGGGCTGGAAGAAGATCCCCACAATGAGACTCTAGTCATTGCCCTTATTAACTAGGAGCTAAAAGAGAATGTAAGAGGGAGATCTTGTTTAATGGGGATAGACTTTCAGTATGAGATGATGGAAATGGATAGTGGTGATAGTTGTACAACATTCTGAAGGTACTTGATGTCACTAAATTATATACTTTAAATGGTTAAAGTGATAAATTTCATATTATGTATATTTTAATCACCATTTTAAAACAATTTTTAACAAGTTCAGGCCCTACATCAAATAGACTTGCTTCAGTTTTGACTCTGGTACTTATTAACAATGGGATTTTTTTGCTTACTTCTTGACATTTCGGTTTTCTTTTCTGCAAAATGGGTATAATTATATTATCCATCTCATAAATTGTCATGATGATTTTGTAAAACCAGAGTTCTGAATTACTTGAAATATTCACTTTCAGATACTTTTATATCTTTCAGAAGTTACTTTTTATAAGGTTCAATATTTTTATCTCCTTTCAGCTAGACATAACCCCTTGGATATCCCCAGAAAGGACATGAGCTCAGATTCTCAAGCTCATATTAGCACCCACTATAAAGTATTTAATTATATTTTAATGCGCAGATAAGTCTCTTGTTGATTGTTTTTAATACAAGACATGGACCACTAACATCAAGCAGAGAAATTGAACATAAGAACTTGGAAAATTAAAATCTGGGTCCTTAACTATTGAAATTTCTACCAAGTTATGATCCATTTCTAAGACCTCTTCCATTTGTGTCTCTATTTAACTATAAAACACCTGCAAATGGGCACAATAGCACTTGTCTGTAATCCTATCTATTCAGGAGGCTGAGGCCGGAGGAGCACAAGTTCAAGGCCAGCCTGGGTACCTTAGTAAAACCCTGTCTCCAAATTAAAAATAAAATGTACAGGATGCACTTCAATGATAGAGCACCCCTAGGTTCAACCCCCAGTACCACACCACACACACACACACACACACACACAAATGCTCTAAATTTTGTCCAAAGGTCCAGAGGAAATGCTTCACTTTTTACTAAATTTATGCTTTCAAAGCAGTATTTCAATTTTTTAAGAAGTACTTATTACATTGGTATGAAAAAAATATAATCCATGTTTTTTAATTATATAGTTGGATTTTTACTATACATATAAACCCAAGAGAAGCCCAAGTATTTCACTAACAAGAACAAGAGTATTTTGAGTATTTTACATAGAGAATCACTTGAACATATTTTAAAAAAACAACTGTAGAATCTTTTCAGTTGTAAGTATGTAAACCTTCCTAATATGATCTGATAAAAGTTCATTTTTTTCCTTTTTCTTTTGTGTGTATGCATGTGAGAGAGAGAGAGAGAGAAAGAGAGAGATTCTGAGTATTAAACCCAGGGCCTCAGACATGCTAAGCAAAGCACTCTACTATAAGCACTGAGCTACATTGAAGACCTTTTTTATTTTTTATTTTGAGACAGGGTCTCCCTAAGTTGCCCAGACTGGCCTCAAACTTGCAATCCTCCTGCCTTAGCTTCCTGAGTTGCTGGGATTACAGGCACACACCACCACATCCAGCTAGTAAAACTCCATTCTACCAGAAAAAAAGAACAAATGTCTAGCTCATCTCTCCTGGAATAGATTTTCTCTACCTATAAGACTTTTGTCAGTAATAATATGTGAGATGAAAGTCAGAGTTGGGTTTTTTGAGGGTTTGGTTTTGGTTTTGTTCCATTTTTAGGTGCTAGGGATTGAACCCAGAGGTGCTTTACGCTGAGCTATATCCCCAGCCCTTTCCATTTTTCATTTTGAGACAGGGTCTTACTAAGTTGCTTAAAACTTTACTAAGTTGCTGAGGCTGGCCTCAAACTTATGATCCCTCTATCTTGCCTCCTAAGTTACTGGTTGAAGAGAGATTACACTTACACTTTAGTAAGAAAGTTACTTATCTTTTTAGGCCTGTTTCCTCGTCAGTAAAATAAATATATCACCTACTTCCAGAGTCGTGTGAGAATCAGAAGAGATAATACATAGAGTGTCAGTGTACAATGTACACACAGTGCCATGTCTGATGGTGACCTTATGGTTTAAGGATCATGGGAGTGTTATTTGTAGCAACATTAGCATTCTCAGTAGTAGTCAAAAAAGTTATTTTCTAGACTCTACCCTTTTATAAGGTGAAGTAAAATCCCCAATTATCATGATAATTAGAAGTAAAGGAAGTAGAATAGGAATACTTTCAGAAATGGCAGAAAAGAGTTAAATGACAGACTACTAAACTTCTCAGTGGGCAAGTACCTCCAGCTTCCACAAATGTGATGACGGCACTTCCAGATCGCTTATCATAGTCCACACTTTCCACCTCTCCACCTCCAAGTCGGGACTTGCAAAAGCTCAGCTCTAGTTTGTCTCTCATCTGATCTTCAGGCAACTCATCAGGAATTTCAGTAACATTGATCTTCATTTTAGAAACTTCTACATGAACCTGGGAAACGGTTTCATGTTTGGAAATATGGATGAGAAAAGAGCCCGTGTTCAACAGAATTCCTCAAAGCTTTAAATTACTGTGTTACCTGGAATCTGACTCCTGTGTTGAGTGGCACTGGATTGGCTGTAACCTCCAGAATCACGTCCTCCATCTGCACACGATGCTTCTCCATTTGTAACACATTTTGTGCAACTGAAAATGATTTTGAAAGTATTAATTTCCAATTTCTCTGAAGTTTTTTTGTGCTTGTTTAAGGATAAACTTTCATGAAGGTTTTGATTTTCTTTAATAGCAAATGATATAATTTTAACATTTTTCTTGGGATTTCCAAATGCTAATGGTCTTGTCATCAAAGCAGAATATATTTATATTGCAATACATCTGCAAAAATGAGAGTTTTTCTCAAATTCCATATTCATCTCAAGGGATCAATCTCTCCTCTGATTTATCTTAAGAGACATGCCCAATGATAATCCTCTAGAAATTCATATGTTTTTCATATATTATTTCCATCAGGCACACACCCTTCTTTCCACCACTGACAGCATTACCAGAGAATTCCTCTAATACATGAGATCTCAGTCAGAAATTCTTCCATGTTGAGTAAGTTAGGAAAACTTTTGCAGGCCAATGTCATTTTTACAATTAACTTTAATTGTATTTAACTCAATCATTTGTCACTCCCCTGTTACAAGCACCATAGAAATACATAGTCGTTTTAGTCTTTGTCTTGAAAGGGTAACATAATAAAAAATGAATGGCCCTGAAGACCACCAGGACCCACCCTATAACTTCACAATGTACACTTGCTTATCAGAGTGAGAATGTTTTATTTTGTTTTGTTGGTGATTTTTATTTTTATTTTTGTCATATTTAATGAGGCATTTCATTTCACTAAAATGCTCTTGAAATCATTCCTTTGAAAATCAGGGAACCCCACTATACCAATCACAAAGCCATCAGGTCTAATTTTTTCACACAAATGGGAGAGGCTCAGTACTATAATTATGCCAAAAACATTAAAAATCCAAAGAGCAACTACATGCAAATTTAAAACGTATGTGAGTAGGTATTTCTTTTTTTAATTGTGGGGCATGAGTTTAGAACACTTCAGTTGTTACAATTTGGAACTGCTTGTTCTAATTTATCATGAAGACAAGAGATGTTCATTCTCTGTCTCATAAACCTCACTATGTTTATGTCAGCCAGATAGCACAGCTGGAGGGAGAGAGAAACAGGACTAGAAGGCAGGGCGTTGTCTTGTGGGAATTCAGACTCACTGTACCACAACATGACTTTATAACTCGGATAATTTTTTTTTTTTTTTTTTTTTTTGCTAAGGGCAACAGACGACAATTACACAAAACATCAATGAAGTAATACTCTGATGATCCTCTTTCCCATTCACGCCCCCCCCCCAAGAAACTCCCAACATCTGGTGATATGACACAGTGGAGAGAGACCACTTACGTCTCAACTTCTATGACTCGAACAGCCAAAGGCCAACTCCTGATTCATTACGTTCAAATGTAGCCCTGTTCCAGGAGATCAGGGGCTCAGAGCCGTGTCAACAGTAGAAACAGCGATGTGGCTCTATCTGAAGAAAATCCTAATCCCAGCATTTCCAGGTAAAGGCTGTGCAGAAACCTGGCTCAGAATCCTCATTTATGTCTGCCAGTTCCATCCCGACTACCACTGTCCACTGCCAATGTGGCTCCTGGCCTCCGCCTCTTCCCAGCTGCAGTGATGGCGCCAGGGTAAAGAGAAGCTCACTGGGGAAGGGGGCCTCATCTGAGCATTCACCAACCTTCTGGAAAGTCTTTCCTGTCAACATTTATTTTTAGGCTACCATGGTAGGACCGGGAGTCAGGAGATAGGGGTTAGGATTTAGAATTTCGGAATATAAACATTGAATGGCCCTGAAGACCACCAGGTCCCACCCTATAACTTCACAAATACCAGAATGAAGGCCAACCTGCTCAGAGGAATGTTGGTCCTCCAGAAATTACACAGGCAAGTGATCGTGGACTGAAACCTCCAAAGCTATAAGCCAAAATAAACCTTTCCTCCTTTAAGTGGATTTCTCTCAGGTATTTATTACAGTGATGAAAAGCCAACTAACACACATAATGTCTTATAGTCAGTTTTCTCATCTATAAAATGGGGATATTATATCTGCTTCAGAGTGTCACTTCAAGGAGGAGAAAAAATGTTATATGGAAACATTGTAAACAATAACCAAATATCTAAGAAATAAATATATAACATATAAATACATAATTCTCTCACTTTTTCTAGTCAGTATTGTACAGTGTTCCATTCTAAAGCCCACATCATTCACGTAGATAAGGACCTTCTAAATAACTGTGCCAATAATGCACTATCTCAAAATCTGGAAAGACCTGTCAAAATTCCAGTGCTCTCCAAAGATAACATGGTCATATATATTTTTTTTAAGATGAATCATACCTTAAAGGGGAATGCAGGAAGGGAGGGGGAATGGGAATCGGAAAGATGGTAGAATGAATCGGACATAACTTTCCTATGTTTATATATGGATACACCACCAGTGAAACACTACATCATATACAACCACAACAATAAGATCATAATTAGAATAAGTTATACTCTATGTATATAAATATATCAAAATATACTCTACTATCATCTATATCTAAAAAGAACATATTTTTTAAAAAAAAGAGAAAAAGAAACTACATCCAAAAAGGCAGAATAGAGTTAGATATTAGAAAAAAAATGGTTTTACTTTTAATTATTAAAGATTTTTATTTTTCTTCAAAAAAAAAAGGAAGAGTAGTCATACCTTCTTCTTTTTCAAAGGTGATAAGTGCTTGTCCTTTTTGTAGCTCATAAGGCACTTGTGATTTCACTTCAAATGAATAGGAAATGTTTGAAAACTGGCTAACATCCTCAGGAGTCTCTAGTGATGTGAATTTTATCTTTGTCTCTGGAATATCCTCTTTAATCTAATTCAAATAGAAATGTTTGCTTAAAATCAAGATAATAAATAACTTTAGTCCCACCAATGACAATAGATTTGGTCAGCCAATAATTCACTCTCCACTGATTTTAGAACCTCATAGAATATTGACTGTAGACTTATTTAACATCTTTAGTAATTGCTTTTTCCCCTGCAAGTACTCAGTAATATAATCAAATACTGATCCTTTAATATCATTTCACAAATGAAATTATAAATACATAATCCTCTCACTTTTTCTAGTCAATGTTTAAACTGGTCAGTATGTGTTCCACTCTAAAGCCCACATCATTCATGTAGACAAGGACCTTCTAAATAACTGTGCCAATAATGCACTATCTCACAAGGAAATCATTAGATAACATGTTTAATTTCACTGCAAAGAAGTGTGAAATATAGGACTGGGTGTACTGTGGTTATGTTTATGACAAACCCAGAGAGTTTCATCTAAAATGAAAGACTACTGATTCATATGATATGAAATTTATCATATTTAAATTCCATATTTCCCCACACCTACCTATCAACTTTTAAACATTACCACAACATAGACTTAGAAAAAAAGTTAAGGGATACTAACAACAAGAATTAAAGGAACTGGGGATGAAGCTCAGTGCTTGCCTAGTATACATAAGGCCCTGGGTTCAATTCCCAGCATTACAAAGGAAAACAACAACAAAAA